TCTATCTATCTATCTATCTATCTATCTATCTATCTATCTATCTATCTGTCATCTATCTATTTATCTAGAAGCAGGGTATCACTGTGTAGCCCTGACTAGCCTGGAACTTGTTATGTAGACCACAAAACCCTCACATTCATAGAACTCAGTCTGCATTTGCCTCCTGAAAGCTGGGATTAAAGATGTGCACCACCATGCCCAGCTGCTTGAGATTTTAACCTATTAGGTCTGAATGACCTCATGGCTGGTACCCATATCCTTAGCCCAAACACACATGTGGCTGAATATTGAGGAAGGTCAAACTTGCCCTTTACCAGGTTCAATACGCTATGTGAGAGCTGTCCTTTTGAAGGCTTTCCCACACATTTTGACTTTATAATACCTTACTGAAATATTTAGTGTGTAGAGGAATGTGCATCTTGTTCTCCTGTTGGCATGTTTCTTAGCTTAACTTTCTGGTAATACTAGAATCATAATAGACTTAGGCTGATTTCAGAGTTATCTCATGGAACCGTCACAATGGAAAGCGGCCAGGTGTCTTCTACTGACTTATTTGGAAGGAGAGATTAGAATAAGCCAGGTTGCCAAAACCTGGCTCACGTGTGTCCTCTCTCTTGCCACCTCCCTGCCATCTCCAGTCTAAGCTGTCTTTGTTGCTCACCTGAACTCTTCAGAATGCCTCGGACTCAGTTTCGTACCACAGTGCGCTCTGTATAAAACATTAAACGGTCCCCACACTTCTCCCTTGCCGGTTCTTGCAAATCTTCCAAGGCTGGTGTCACATACTAAGAATATATTGGCAAAGGACTTGAGAGGACACTTCCCAAGGAAGATGTACTCATGAACACGTGGCAAGATGCCTGATGTCACCAATCATCAGGAAGGCGCAGATAGAGACCACGGCCAGCTGCTCCCTCTGCCCCATTGGGTGGCTACTGTAAAGCATCAGCAAGAGAGAAACTAGGAGAGTTGTTAATGATGGGGAGAAGCCGGGATCCTTGGGCCTTGTTGATAGGGATGTGAAATACTATAGCTCAGTCAATAGTATGAAGCGCCGGGGATGTAGGTCAGCGGTGCGGCTCTTGCCTGGTGTGCCGGAAGCCCTTGGTTCAGGCTTCACTGCTGCCATCGGAAAGGAAGAGAGCAAGGGCGGGAAAAGAATGGTATGGAAGTTCTGATAATCATTAAGCAAAGTCACCGTATAGTGCAGTGATTTTTCTTCTGGGTGTACGGTCTGAGGAACTGCAAGCTGGAACTTGAACAGTGATCGTTTATTTACAGGTTTGATTGAGACAGGGTTTCTCTGTGTAGCCTTGGCTGTCCTGGAACTCACTCTGTTGATAAGGTTGGCTTCAAACTCACAGAGATCTGTCTGCCTCTGCTTTCCAAGGGTTGGGCTTAAAGCTGTGTGCTACCACACCTGACAAACTGTATTTGCGTATCCAAGCATCTTCTTTAGTATCTAAGAGGTGGACGCAGCTGAAGTGCCCATTGACAGTTGAATGGAGAGAAAAAAAAAATGTTACCAACAATGGATTATCATTCCGCCTTGAAAGAAGACATGCATCACAAGGATGAACTTTGAAGACATTATGCTCAGTGAAATAGGTCAGTTGCAGAAGGAAGAGACTGTGTGCTCAGATGATGTACCTGAAGGAGTCACGGAGACTGGAGTGTGAAAGTCCATGATGTGGTGTGTGCTTTTGCAGCCTGAGAGGATGAAGTGTTGGGGTGGATAGTAGTGATGACCGCACAACGACACAGACATGCGTAGTGTCATACAACTGTCCTTTAGAAATGGTTAAAATGGTAAATCCTGTATGCATTTTACCGCAATAAAACTATCTGGGATAGTTATGGCTATGTATTGCGATTTTTATATAAAACAAAACTCTTGAAGGCAGAGGCTAGATATTTAGCATTCTTTTCTTTTCTTTATTATGATTGATATTTAGTATTTTAAGTGTTCATTTACTGCGGTAAAATACACACAACATAAAATTTATCATTTAATTCTATTTAAGTGTCTCGGTCAATGCAATACGAACTATTGCCACCATCCATTTCCAGGGCTTTTTTTTTTTTTTTCAATCATTCTTAGTAGAAACCCTGTGGCTGCGGGTCTCTGAAAACATCTGTTTCACTTTTCTGCCAAACTTGCCTATTTTAGGTAGTTCATGTAAGGGGAAGTAGAAAATTCTTTTTCTTTTTGACTTTTATTTCCTTTACTGAAGTGTCCTCAAGTTCTGTCCAGATCCGTTGCTGTTAAGTCCCCTTTCCTTTGAAAGCTAACTGATCATCGCATGCTAAGTGTATACCGCATTGTGTGTGTTTTCCTGCCCGTGGACACAGGAGCCGAGAGCCGTTTCTAGCTTTGGGCTTTTGTGAGCAATGCTGCTAGGAACAGTTTCTGAGTTCAGTGGATCCTGAACTCGGGCTGCCCTGAACACTGGCTGCCATTTAAAGCGAGTGGTTGGTTCTGTATGATGAGTAGGTGAAGCTGGACCGCTGGCTCAGCTGTTAAGGGTAGCTGCTGCTCATGCAGGGGACCTGGATTGGACTCCTAGCACCTTGTGTGGTGGCTCTGTAACTCCAGTTCCAGGGGCTCTCATGCCCTCTTCTGGCCCCTGTGGCCATCAGGCACCCACCCAGTGCACACGTAGGCAAATACTCATACACCTACAATCAAAACCTTTAAAATTAGTAGGTAGGTGAGCCACTACCAAGGGCTCTGCTGGGAATTCAAGATCTGGGTTTGAGTTTTAACCTCATTACCGTTTAATCTTTGAATCTCTGCTCCGTCATCTGAGAAGCAGGGTCACTGCATCGTGCTTTATTGACTCTGTGGGGTTGACGTCCACACAAGCTGCGCGTGTAAAAGCCCTTTGGACTCTGGACATCTCTGCCAGCGTGAGGTTCAGTGTGCAATGTCACACGAAAACCCTTCACCACTTTCCCCCCAATTCTTCTACTTTAGAAATCTTGTTTGGCCATAAAACACGAAACATCACGTTTCTTTTCTATTTCTTCACATGAAAGCCGAGTTGGTACCAGGCTCAATGCAAGTATCTGCCTTCCCTTCTTCATTTACTTCTCAGTCTTATTTTAGGCCCACGAGTCTAGCACTCTTTAAAAGGCAGTTATCACGATGCTTTTCCAGTTGTTGAGAAGCAGATCTGTTTCCCTTAGCAAATCCTCACATAGGTCAGATGAGCCCCTTGAATGCCACGCATTCTTGGGTGCTGCATATCTGAAGGATGAGCCTAGGGACTTCAACAGTGGGCGGTGACAAAGTCCGCAACCCAGCTGCCTAGCAGAGGCCCTGGCTTCTCTCAACTCATTGCTCTTCACAGAGCTGGCATATGGGCTGGAACCCCCCCCCCCTTTCCTCGTTAGAAGCTTTGTTGTTTGACATGTAACAGGTGAACACACAGGGGTGTGATTTTTCTATAGACGTTTGTTAAGTTCATAAACGGCTGGGCTGTTTGGTTGGGCCTGTGGACTGTCATCCAGTGGCATATGAAATGGATCACACTGCGAGAGGTTGTTTTTCTTTGTCCTTCGGGTCCTGTGTGGTATGTGACTCTGGTTCCTTGCTGGGTGTCCTACCACAGAGCTCCCTCACCAGCTCCAGGACTGTCACCCGCAGTCTTACTGATACGAGGGTATTTGCATGCGTTCTCAGGCGATTAAATACAGGATGTTAAGACTCGGGTTTTCTGCCTTGTCCTGTGTACGCGACAAACCCCTCTTCCTTTCCAGCAAAGCTCAGACAAATAGCAGCCTCACAGCTGACCAGCTGGGGGTGGAGTGAGCTGGTAGCAGCTGTGTTGAGGTGAAGACCTCTTTGGTCGCCATGCATATGGAAGTAGATATCGAAGGCGTTGTTTCCTGATCTCTGTCCCCCTCCCTGGGACTCCATATATATCTCTGTGTATGATACTTCTTCGAAGGCTAAAGGAACAGAATGCTATAGTCTCAACTCATATCTTTTAGAAAGTGTGTGTGTGTACGTGTTATTACATGTGTTTGTGAGTGCCAGCATGTACATACTACGGCACATATGTGAAGATTGGAGGATGACTTTTGGGAGTTAGAGCCAGGGCCCGAACTCAGGTCACCAGACTTTCTCACCGAGCCCTTTTTTTTTTTTTTTTTTTTTTTTTTTTTTTTTTTTTTTTTTTTTTTTGCCTGTTGAGTCACCTGCTGGCCACCACCTCATAAGGTTTTGAATGATTCATGGGAAAAATAATTTCATGGCATTCATTTGCCCAAACATAAGAGGCACTGGTAGTCAGATGACAAGACCAGAGACCGTCATGCTAAGAGCAATCAGAAGCTGGAGCGATCGATGGCTTACAGGGAAGAGTGTTTATTGTACAGGTATGATGAAGATCTGAAGCCA